CAAACGATGCCTTGGTGTCAATCAAAGACTTTGCATACAGAAGGTGAAAGCTTTGTGAAAGGAGATTCTGGAACAAGTACACAGTGCACCGTACTTTCCATCTGAGAAGAATTCATGATATTTGCCTCAAGAATTTTATGGGATTTATGTTAAAAGAAAGAGACTTAAAAATGTTCAAAGCCTTAAGAAATTTGGTGATGAGAGTTGTGCCTTGAGTTTTGAGGACCCTTGAGGTTTTAGTTGAGAAGTTAGTGAAAAAAATAAAATTGAAAATTGAAAATATAGTACTCATTTTGTTGTAAGTTCCATTAGAGCCTTGGAACCCATGTTGTTGCCGAAAGAAACCAAACTTTGTTCATAGCGGACTGGGTTGTCTATAGACCCTCGGCACCGCAGTGCAACGAGACTATTAGCAGGTGATGGGGCTACAACTTGTGTGTGTGACTGCATGAGACATAGGCATCGCAGGTATACCACAGACAGACGTCCAACGCTTGCTGGCCTCTGGTCGGTGGCGTGCTGCGTTGCAGCGTGTTGTGGCATCGCGTGTTGGGTCACAACGAGTTGTATCGCAATCACTCAGGCGTACTGGTGCATGCGTGCTCACCATAACAAATGTCCCATGCGTGCCGCAGCGATCTATGTCTCTCTGAAAATCGATGTACAGTCAGAAGAGGGCGAGGATTTGTTGAGAGCTTGCGTTTTGGATAGCGAAGAAAATTAGGATAATATTTTGCCACTCGTAGAGTTTGCCTATGACAACTGTTAGCAGACAACAATTCTCATAGCGTCGTATGGCCTTGTACGGACACAAGTGTAGAAGGACACTTAGTTCAAGGTAGGCAATAAGGTGTTCCCCAAGGTCACGCTGATGAAGGGTGTGATTCGTTTTGAGCAAAAAGGGAAGCTGCAGCCCCGATACATCGGTCCTTTCGATATCTTAGCTCTGGTCAGTGACCTAGCCTATCGATTGGCACTACCACCGGAGCTCTCGGCATGCATAATGTGTTCTATGTATCTATATTGAGGAAGTATGTGCACAATCCCGAGCACGTGGTAAACGTTGACGAGTTGTAGGTCGGGTAGAACCTGATGTACGAGGATGTGCCTATAGTTATTTTGGATCGAAAGGTTCATCAGCTAAAGAATCGAGAAGTAGATCTTGTCAAAGTCTAGTGGAGTCGCCATGGTGAGGATAATGAGACTTGGGACAGAGAGGAAGAGATTCAGTCTAAGAATCCGAGTATTGTTTTCTAAGCTTTATCTTCTGAGTTGTATCTTGTGTATTCGAGGACAAAAATTCTTTTAGAATGGTAGATTGTAGTGTCCCGTTCTTTTAATAAAAATTATTAGCTCGACTTCATTCAATTAAGCATATTAATTTCTTATCAAAGAATTGTAGAAAATGAATAATAAATCATTAGGAATACAAACTTTAATATTATTAACACATGTAAAGTAAATCATTTATGAACTTAAGCTAAAAAAATTAAATGGAAAATTCAAATCACTTTCCAAATTAAAGCTAAGGCATTTAAATGTTGATATCAACATTCTTCTTTTGTTACTTTGCCATGAGCATGGGTCGGTACGGTTTGGTGATTGACAAATCTCTAGAACCGTATCGAAGTTCGGAGATTACTAAATTCAATCTGCGAAATTGGCCAAAAAATCGGTTCGGTTCGGATATTTGAATATTTTTAATTATTTTTTAATGTTTTTTAATGGCCACCTAGTTGTATTTCAATTTTTATATTTTTTTAACCCAACATTCATCAATACTTTATCATACTAAAGATTTTATTTTTAAATCAACTGAAGAAATAACTCTAAATTTTAATTAAGACTAAATTGGTGCAACTTACATTGAAAATTCAAAATTCAAACAAAATATAATGTAGTTTTTTTATTAAAGTAATATTTATTTAATCTTCCATAACAAGTTAGTTATTATAAGATAAAATAAAACTAGTATCGGCAAATTTAAGTGATGTTTAAATATTTATTTTAAAAAAATATATTTCCTTAACCTTTCATACCATTTAAAAAATATTTTTCTTAAACCAGGAAAATTTAATTGTAGATCTCAAATATTACTAAGCATAAAATTTAAGTGAAGCTTAATTGTTATTACAATATTTATTTCTATTTTAAAATTTTTTAAATTATATAGGATCAAAGTTGACATAAAATATATTAATATTACACATCTATTTTTATACTTCGGTTATTAACTTCGGTTCGCTACGGTACGGGACAGTTCGGTTCGGTTCGGAAAAAGTCAAACGGTCAACTATTATTTTTCGGTTCGAAGTGATTTTGGTTCAGTTTTTGTGATGGTTCGGAATGCTCCGAGTCTCATGCTCAGCCCTAACAAGTTGGGCTCGTCTCAGCTCGATAATGCTCGGAAAGAGAATTTTTATATAATTTTCTATAATACGGCTCGTTAAAGTTCGAGATCGACTCAAACTCGACTCGTTAATATTGTTAAACAGCTCAGCTCGAGCTCGAGCTCAATTTTCAGCTCGTTTACTTAGCAAACTGAGTTGAACTTGGATCGTTAAGGGCTCAAGCTCGAGCAAGCTCGAGAATCCTGAGCTCGAGCTCGGCTCGACTCTACTTGTTTACAGTGCTAGGTTCAACTCTATCAAACTTGAATTGAAGACATACATCCTTATTTAGATGTGTACTTGAATACTTCATTGGTTTTTTATTAAATTATGTATATTGTAATTTTATCATTAAAATATATAAAACATAATAATTCATTAATCGTGCATGTTTTTACAATATCATTCATTCGTTTATAATAAGTATAGATTAACCACATTTAATTACGATTAACAAGAACATAAAACACTGCATAGATTAGGACATGACAAGTTGGTTGGATACAGGGGCAGAGGCAAATGGGAGCTAGTGTGGGCTTAGGCCCACACTCAATTTTTGGGATGAAATACTGTTTAGAGCATCTGCACCGCCTCGTTCAACTTGTGCGTTTAAATGGCTTCTGGCTATTCATTGCAATGCAACCGTTCATTTAAGCGTGGGCCCCATAATTTCGTTCAATGGTTTGAACGGCCGTTTTATGACTTTATTTAATTTTTTTTTTGTTTCAACAGCCCTTTTGTGGGCCTTTTTAATTTTTTTCCATTTAATTTTAATTCAACTTGAGTCTTTTTGTTTTTATTTAATTTTAATTATTTTATATATATTTAATTCAATTTTAATTATTTACCAACTAAAAAAATGTCTTTTTAATTATACTTTTTTTTTTCTTGTATAATCTTAATTTAAGTTATTTAATCTTGTAGTGTTCCTTTATTTTCATGTATTTCTAATTTATTATTATAATTTAAAAATATTAAATTTTTATTTTAGTTGAAAAAAGAATATTAAAATTTGTATTGAATGAGTAAATATTGTGGGTCCCGTATATGTAGTTAAATGAATGTATAGGAATGTGAGTGATTGTTTAAATGGAGAGAGAATAAGTGAAAAGATGATGTTGAGATGATGTGGATGAGAGAAAATGTTACTTTTTGATTGAATGAATAGTAAATGTATTTTAGGGATGTGGATGCCCTTATATGAGGAAATGATGTTTACATGTAGAGATGACTTTGCTACATAATTTATTCAAGTGGATGTTTGTAACAAACATCATTTTTTTCATGATCCTTATTTACCATTTTAACAATGCATGTCCATCCATTTTTTCTTTCTTTCTTTCTTTCTTTCTTTCTTTTTCTAGGTTATTCTATTATTTACTTTACATGTAATTTTTATTGTCTTAGTCTTTTTAACTCAACAAAATTATCTAACAGTAGTGCTATAACATTTAAAAATTATATTACACAGGTGTTAACTGAAATTTTATACTTAAAAAATTAAATTATAGAAGTATTTATTCAAATTTGTATATACCTAAATAAAATTATTTGTATTCAGTTTTTCACTTAAAAAAAATTATTCAAATTTGTATATACTTTTTCAAAATAATATTTTTTATTTATACTTAAGATGAAACATTATTTATACAATTTTCCCGTCATATTCATAATAATTTGCTAACTCATATTTCATAATAGAGTTGATGTATAAATTTAACTAAAAATTAGTTTTATATATATGATATTTATATCAAATCAAAGATAACCAAATGATAATTAATTTGATATATAAAAATTGATAACAAATAAAAAGGCAACTTAATTTTAAAATATATTTATAATTTAAGTTGCTCAAGTGTTTTATATTTAAAAATATTTTTATAGACATGAATAAATGTTCAAATCTACATGGACTATTCCGAAATACTAGAAATTTACGCATATGATTATGAATTAGAAAAAATGGACACATAAAATTACTAAGCACCAGAAGTTAACATGTCAATTGAGAAATCTTTGCATTTATAAAATAGAGAGATTATAATTTATTTTATAATTCATTATAAAAATTGATATTGTATTCCCACTTACTAGTTACTGTTTATATCTAGAAACATAATTAATACTTTTTTTTTTTTTACCTAAATTGCCTATCGAAAATTATTATCAAGGTTATCTTGAAATACAAGTAAATATATCAAATATTTAAAGTTTTGATGATTTTAGAAATAAAATATTTTGGAGGACAATTGTTTTTCAACAACCAATAAATATTGTTTTGAGATAAACATGATTCAAATATGAAAAAGACAAATGGTCAAAATAATATTTTCATTTTGAAATCTTGTTAACTCCTTAATAGATTTTGGCCCACAATCAACAATTTTTCTAGATCGGCCCATGGTTGGATAGAAAAAGAAAAATGTACTAGAAAACCACACACAAAAATAAAATAAATAAACGTTTTTCACAAATGATTTGTGATTTTCATTGAATACTAACTTATGAATTTTGAATACAAAACAAATCAAAATAAGAACTATATAACTTCAAATCCTTTTACTTCCCCTGAACCCATGAAGACAACAACTATTGTATAATGCAAACTCATGTATTCACAAACCTGCAGTTTTTCCTGACTTCTCCATTAACATAAGTATCAGGGTTTGTAATGTTTCCCAATCTCACCATGGACTCAGAGAACTGCTCGAAAAAAGCTATTGGGTTCTCGGCGTATTTTACGACCAGCCTTTTGGTTTCGATCGCTAAAATGCTCGAATAAAGTTCCTGGTCCGAATTTAAAAGTCCTTCCCCTCTTAATAGTATTTGGTAATACGAGTTGTCGAAAAAATTCGGCGATAAGTAGTCCATGGCCGACTCTTGGTTGTCCGAACCTTTAAGAGGGGGACAAACCGATTTCAAGTTTTTGAGGTACTCATTCGAGATCGGATTTAGTCCTGAAGTTGCCTCAAAATCTTCGTATACTCTTTTCCTGAAGTTCACGCAACGGGCCATGCCGATCGTGTGAGCCCCTATAGAGACCAATTTTTCGAGGATACAAAAAAATATAAGTTAAAGAGTTGATTTTTCCTATCAAAAGCACTAGATTTTCCTCTATCTTTTTATTAGCTGATTTTTTAAGTTGTTTGTTCTTACCGGAAAGCGCCACCATATCAGTGACCGAGAGGCCTTGATAAATAAACTTTGATATAATGGACAAAAGCTCTTCGTCTGCTGTGGGAAGATTAGTATCGACGAGCGCATAGCGGGCAGTTTTCGAGTCTTTTCTCCCCAGAGGAACAGGCCAATATGGCCCACCAACCTAGATTTTATTTGCACAAGAAAAGAAAATTGTTGTAAAAAAGAAGCTGCTTCTTTTACAATATTTTTTATGTCCAATTTTTGTGGGTGAAGTACCAAAATGACTGCATCTCTAGCAGCAACTGTTAGAATATCGGCACAAGACACAATTCCAGGGCACTCGGACTCGAGCTTGTTCTTTATCCTGTCTATGATTTCGAATCCTTTGAGGGCATTTTTATTGTTTGCCGCTTTTTTCTCCCCTTGTAATGTGATTGTGTCGTCTAGCAACACCGACCCGTCACAACCCTGCATCAATATTCCAATGTTACTCTGAAAAAATCAAGAATGTCCTAAAAAAACCTCATTTCTTCATTCAAATTTGTTTGCATTATACAAAACAAGCATTACTGAAGAAGGCGAAGACCTGAACAAAGCAATCGTGGAAATGTAAGCGCAAAATCAGAGCCGCATTGCGTGGATCGGACAAAACCGCACATTCCATTTCTTTTCGAACTATTTCAAGAACCGTCGGGCAAGTTTTTTGGTAGTAATCGGAAGTTAACGACGAGTCGCTTGCATGAGACCTTGAAAACACTATGCAAAGGGCTAATAATAGTAGCAAGCATTGCAAAGTAAGGCCTTTTGCACAAGCCATTTCTTGCTGTAAGTATTTTTTTTTTCCTTTTTTTTTCTTTTTTAATTTTGTTGAATTGTTAGTTCCATAAACACTAGAGATTGTGAAATATAGTTGTGATTAATATATATACTTGTCTTTGTTTTTGGAGTATTTAAGTTGTGAAAGTATTTAGTCAAGGGAGGATGTAACTAATATTGATGTTTTACCACTTCAACTTTTGTACTATTTGATGCTAGAAAAAGTTTTTGGCTTGTTCTGTGAGGCTATCTATGATGAATATAATAGTGAACAAAAAAAGAAAAAAAAAAATGTTTTCCCAACTGCAATTCATAAACAACAATAAAGGCCTCTTCATCAACAAAGTAAATTGACTGAACATTTTCAATATTTTTATTTTAGGGAAAATTTTATTAGAAGAACTAACTTTTTAAAATTGTATCAAATATAAAGTCTGATTTTTATTCTTTATCAATAGACGACTTATAATTTAGATTATCTTTTTATTTAAAGTTTACTTTTTAGTTAACTTTTTATTAAAAGGTTCAAATGACTTTACTTTTTTTTTATATAAATACGTGAACTAATTAACTTTATTTTAAGATATAGTTATGTGAACAAAAATATTTTTTTAATTATTTTTTTATAATTAATATTTTACATACTTATAATAAAAATAATAAAGATTAGTAGTAAAATTTCCTTAATAATATAATGAAACTATATAAATTATATTTATGCAAAAGTTAAATAATGATTATTTTAAAAAAAAAATGATAAGTGAATTGGGAAAATATATAATGGAAAGATTATTTTAATTAATGATCTAAATATGTATTATGGTATCAATTTTCGCGTTCAAAAAGAAAAGTTAAAATCTTGAAACGCTAAAATGAAGGCAATATAATATTATTTAATTTTTTTTTTGTTTTATCACATATTTATTTTATTGGTAAAAATAATATTTCAATAGCATATTTTTGAAATTATCAGTTTTTAAAAATAACTATTATTAGATTTTGGCATAATTGCAATTTATATAATTTCATATTCTTATTAATGTAACTTTACAAAAAAAATATTTATTATTTTTTTTATTATAACTATGCAAAATATAAATTACAAGAAAAAATAATAAAAATATTTCTATTCACATATAGTTGGTTCACATATTTATGTCAAAAAGTAAAGTTAGTTGGGTCTTACAATAAAAAATAGTCTAAAAAAGCAGGTTTGTCTTACATAAAAAAAATAAACCAAAATGTAAATATTGAGATAGAACAAAATTCAAATATTAAATTGATACAATTAAATTACAAGGTTGGATTGGACCTTGTAATGAAATTTCCCCATTTTATGGTGTGATAAAAAAAAAAAAAAAAATATATCATTTATAACATTGATATTGTTTGTGAATAATAGGAATTTCTATTTTCAATTTCCTTAGTATAATTTTCAAACTAACCGGTTCGTTGACACGCTCGCGTGAGACTATCTAATTTACTTGTTATTAATTTGTATTGTTTGTGAATAATAAGTAACTTTGACAAGCAATGCATTTACTTGTTGATGCAGTGCAAATATTTGGTTTAGTAAACCGTTTTACAGCTGCAATTTCTTGTCTAGAAAATGGTCTGGCTGTCTGAGTCTTGTTCCTTACACAAAAACACCTGTGAGAATTCCATAAACCCTTCACTTTCACACAAAATCTATTAAATACAAATAGGATCGATGCATAGAAAGTTCCATGTAGAACAACTCGTGGAAGTTAAAAGAACAGTAAACTCGGGGGAGAATAAAGAGCAATGTACAAATACAACGAGCAACTAATTAACTAATTGGTTACTGTAAGAAACGAGGGGAAAAACGGATGCGATA